GTGTCGAACGCAACGGCGCGAGTGCGTTCGCGAAAAAATCATAGGTTAGATCGCACTCCGGTCGCAGCACGGTTGAGGTTGGAGTTATCCGATGAATTCATCTCGTTCGAGGCTTCCTCGATCGAGGAATAGATTTCGCGTGGGCGAATTGTCACGTCGGAATGCACCGGACGCGTTGTTATAGAGCGAGATAGAAAATACAACGGGAACGGTGGCGTTAACGGTCTCTCACCTGTTGGTACGTTACTCATTTCGTCGAATCGATGCGCGTACGTCTTATGCTCCCTTTCGCTCCCGCACAGTCCACCACTCGCGATTAATTAGCGAAACAATAATACGCGCACGTTTTCCCACGAGAACGTTCGAAACGGATCTTGTGACGTGGTTCGCCTCTACCGAACCGAGATCGATTCCTTCCGAATCGCTTCTGAGGAACAGCGCGGCAGCCATATTGAAAACAGTCGGTGCGGAACGCCACCGTGCGCACAGACGGGAACTAAAAGGCGCGCAAAGCGACCGTTTGAATTCGTGGCGGCACGGAAAGCTTCTCGGCGATGTTGAATCGAATTTTTGAGGTTATTCCAACTTGGAGACGTTGACTTTGAATGAAATGCGAAACAGGAAATTGTTAGGTGATTGATGAAGAAGGTTGTAATGTATTTGTATATATTTAATCATGTTTCATGATAACGTTCTGTAATTTTTGTGTAATTGTTTTTGTTATTTAATAAGTTGTTACGTGTTTTAGGTTGTATGTCAGTTTCAATGGCTGCCGTGATTTTTGTCATTTTATTTATCTGAAAGGAGAAGGTTATAGGTAATTTTCATCTACATAAAAATGGTTATTTTGTGAATTAAGATTGTGTCAATATCGATAATAATGGTTTTTCACTGCTTGAAGAAATTAAAGATATAATGAATTTCTAAATTCAGTTCAGATAAAATGACATTAGAAAAATCGTTTATTTAATTAAATTGTGCTTTTGCCATTAAACTTCGCGGGATACTGTAATTACTGTAGTTTTTAATAATATACGTATTAAAAGTATTACTTTAAAATTGTTGCTTTAAAACTTGTTAATTGATACATCCACTGAATCCATCTAGTGAAACTCGTCTAATACTCACGTATAGGTAGAGATAAACTACAATTACTTCTGATTTGCATTATTTAAAGACAAATTAAAAACACGATTGAAATAAACAAACTTTGTTTTTAAAGTAATACTGATTAAGCATCATTATGCCATTTACATTGCATATCGAGTGCGATGTTTTAACATAACTTTTTATATTTATATTAACAAGAAGACAACAAAACAATCTTATAAGGGTACAGTGAAAACAGGACACTTTCTTTACAACATTTATTACTAATATCTATATATTTATGTACAATTACATACACTTGCCTAGGCATCGTAAGTACAATAATATTCTACAGCACGAGAGCTCGATTGTTCAACTTTCACGAACATTTTTGGCGTTTTCCAAGGAGTGTCCCTATAGTGTTTGCTCTTAAGGTATAGTGGCTACTTACGTTGACGGTAAATGAAGGACGATCGTCGTTGAAACGTCGCACGGAAGCGTATAGATGTTTCCATTTTATTGCGTACAGGTCGTTTCCTGTATAGGTACGATATAATACGTATCGTTCGTTTTTCAATAATACTGATGAACGCTAACACACGTTTGCGTGGCATGACTCGGTACATAGACATTCACGTAACATTCGCTAACCATGTATCCTCGTTTCCTGTGGTTAAACGACCATAATCGAATAGTCGAGCTTAACGGAGAACAATATTACAAGACATTCCAAATTTTGCGTCTAATCCTCCCATAATGGTAGTTAGATTACTCGATCATGTGTCAATAATTGTGTACTTTCATATTGTTTGTTACCACGAAGATCAAGTTTCTCGAAAAAATCAAATAACCAAACACCATAATGAAATTTCCAATAATTCGTATTCTTCTTTTCAAATAAAACGAATAAACAATACTACATATAAACAATTATTAAATATTACTAAAACGTATTTCCTTCTCTCTCCTACTTATTTCACAATAACCACAATAACAAAGGAAATTAAATACAAAAATAAATAGATAAATCAAGTGGCAATAAAATCTCTGTTATATATACGATTCCAGACTAAATTCTTAGCCATATATACAAACGCTATATTCGTGGATCATGAGTGACCCAACCGGTTTTTACAATCCGTCGTATAAGGATTACCTTTGAGAAGAACAAAGGATATTACCATTTCCATCGCGACGTCCCCGTACCGATTCTGCGATAATGCAATCTTCTAAAGTCCGACGAACAAACAAGAGCGATCAAGTGTCGAGAACGAAACCGATGAACGAACGCGGCGGTTAACCTAATACGCAGCAGGATATTATGTTTATACTTGGAATACACATGTACATCTACCAATTGTAATCGCTTACGATCATCGTTCCGTCGAGTGTACGTGATCGCAACTCCCATGGATCTCGATGCGCACTCGATCGGGAGCGATGGATGTGTTTAACGTAACTTCGCGACTCGTACTGGCCTAAATGTCCACATATCTTCGCTTAGACGAATTTCTTAATACATCGTGACTACTTAACACAGCCGGACGACAATTACACGCTAACAATCAGGGCAACTAAACTGCACGCGTCGTGGATCAAGCTGGCAGAGATTCGTCGTATTGTACTAAAATACTAGAAGTTTACTGAAAGAGCGGTTAGCAAAGTTATTGTGTCGCATTGGCACCGTTGCTTATCAAACATAGTGATTCATATTGTCTAGGCTTCAAATAAGCGGACTATATCGCGCTAGTCGAGATCGAAATTGTTTCGTGACCACCATTGTCACGCTTCTGGAGAAATTAGGATGAATTGGTTTTATATGAAAGAAGAATGAATTTGAAAATTCACTTTAACACTTTAATGACCGGAGATGTATTATAATGTTCTTTGCTGGTTGAACGTTGTTAATTGGAAATGTATTTAGCCGTTTTTATAAAGTGATAAGTTTTGATAGTGTGTGAAACTTCAAAGTTTGCACTGGAATTGAGAAAAATATGTTACGGAGAAGTGTTGAAAAGATTGATAATGAAGATAGACAAATATATTTGTAGTGTAATTAATTGGGCGCAATTGTTACGTGGAAAGCAGATGAAATATTAGAATTTAAAATATAAGATTGGAATTTAGAAATATTAGAAATGAAAATATTAGAATTTTTTAATAAATGCATTATGAGCTAAAAATGTTGTTGATGTTTATTACAGGTGTTTATCCAGGCAACTTCAACGGTCATTAAAGTTTTGAAAACCAAATTTTAAGTCAAAGTACCGTAGAACGAAGACTTAATAGAGTCCAAAACAGTGATTTAAGCTTGTGTCTCCAGAAATCGAATATCAAAATTCGAAATGAGAAATTATTATGAAAAACACGGTATCACAAATATTTATTGCATCATCTCAAAGTTTACGCAGCATTTTCGCAACAACATGCTCGATGAAACGATTCGTATTCAGGTTATTCCAGCCAAAACGATCACAACCTACATATTTAACAATCAATAGATATTTTCAGTAATTTTATAATATTAGCAATATCAATGTAGTATGTAATAACATTTAGAAGATGCAATAAATATTTCCAATTATGCAATTATGTCAGAGAACAATGATAGAAATCAAAACAAATAAACATTAAAAATTATGATGGGCTTCGCTAATAGAAGCTTCCTACACGTGTCGTCTAAGATCCGACGAGTACTCGAAAAAACTCGAGCGCAACGTCAGAATGAATTTTTCGCGCACTACGAAAACAGCAACGGTTGTTATATTATTGCTCGTTCGATGCGTGGTGTCTAGGTATGTAAATCTTTCCGGGTGTCTATTTGAGCTAAGTGGGCCGCGATCTCGGTCCGCTAACGTTTTCTCCTCTTTGCGTACAATTGCCCTAAATATTTAGATACAAGTGTATAATACAGTCACCGTTATATATGTACAGAAAACCTACGTTGAAGCTAACGTGTCGGTGTCCAGGAAAAAGTGTGGCACCGACCCTCCCGATTCACTCGGCCGGACCAAGGTATTTTTTCACTCCGTTTCTTATAAAAATAGTATCAGTTAGTGATCTTCATGGCTACGCGGTTCTCGTAAAAACGAACATACATGAGAAAGGTACAATCGCCGCCTTCCCTCCTCCTGGTGTGTGTGTGTGTCTGTGTGTGTGTGTGTGCGTGTGTCTGTGTGGCAATCGAACCAAAGTTGCTCGTCGTCTGAGGCTTTATCCAGACTCGAGAGAACTATCCGGGAATTGCTCACTGAGAAAAACAATATCGCATCCACATTAGAGTTCGCGATCTTTTGATGGACTGCCTCTTGAACGAACATTGTTGTTCGCTGTTAACAAAAGGTCCGCGCTAGTGTTGTAACAAATTCATGTCATCAAAGCTTTAAAGCTTTTTCTTTAAATGCTGAATCTTGAAGGCTTAGAGCTGTATAAAGCTTAAATCTTCGGAACTTCAAAGCTCAATCTTAAAGACTGAGTTTTGAAGGCTTAAAGTTTTATACAGCTCAAGTCTTCGAAGCGTCAACTTTAAAGACTAAGACTTTGAAGCTTCAGGACTCAGCCTTGAATCTTTGAAAGCTTAATCTAACCCTGAAGATCCTTTAGCACTTAAATCTTCATACTCGAAAAGTCGAGCCTTCCGTTGCTATGTTAACACTGTACGGTGTTAAACGCCTCAAGTCTTCAATGATAAAGACTCAAGGGTTAAAAGACTTTAACTTTTATCGTTGAAAGGTTAAATTGCAACTACAACCTCCAAAGCTCGAAGTCTAGGACTCACGGTTACAAGACCTGCTCATACTGCCAGCAAACAGTTTCAGCGAGCCACTCGCGAACTGCTCGCGAACAACGGCCTGGACGTGACCTCGCTACCTCGGAGCTCCATGTGCACGTGTTTCGCGTTTCGTGTGTATGTGTTTACCTGTGTGCCTGTGTCCGTGTGTCTCATTTGTTATAAAAAGTGTATAATCGTTTTTGGAACGCCCAGCGCTACGTGAGAGCGAGCTAACGGATGGACTTTGTGCAATTCAAACGCGTGACGCGAGTTCGATCCGCTCTATTTTCTTCGACGTTCACACGAGAAAAGCTCGATTCGCTGCAGGCGTGCTCCTCACGGGACCTCACACGTAGATATATCGATGTCTAGGCATTCGGTTTAGATTTGTCTATATGGTTGCGCGATTATTCGTGGGTCTAGGCTTTGTTTTTGCAGTTCAAGCAATTGCAGTTCGTTACCGATCAGTTGGCTCACGGAAGGACACAGGGACGAGCAGAACACCTGCTGGCGCTAAATAGGCCAATCTTTTATTGCTTGGAGTATGTTCTGATACAGAATTTCTACTAGACTGTGGAACTTCATGTACCGCTTTCATTGAAGAAATTGAAAGAACGAAAACTCGATTGTTTAGAATAATTGGACTTTCTAGAAAATGTATATTTTCTAATTTTTTGTGTTTATATGCATTTTTAATATAAGAAAATTGTCTTTAGAATGTATAATTATTGAAAATGTGATTGCTTCATTCGTTATGTTTTTACAATTGTAATTAGAACAATATATTGGAGAAGTTATTTGTTGAGCTTTAGTCATTTATTTATTGAGATTCAACTATCCATAATAAGAATTGTTAAGCATAATTTTAAGTACGAGATTATTTTAGTTCATCTATCCAGTTACTGTCTTCTATTTTACAAATTTTTTAAACAATTTTTCTTTCTTATTAAAAAAAGGTTAAACCAAGCAACAAATCATGAACATCCACAGTCTAGCAGCAACGTTTGTTGTTTAAATACAAAATTGAGAATACATGTTTCTTCGCAGAGATGAGTATATGCAAATTAAATCTCATTAGTTAGGACCTGCGTTCTTCTCAGACGCCAACTCTTCAGCTTTCTGCTGTAATTCGATAAACAGACATTGTCGTGTCCACGCGTTCCGCTTTGTTGTTGTCTAATATTTGCTAAAGTACTCGAGCGTGCTTGGTGAACAAGCTCGCGAGCATGATTATTTATCTAAGTAGAACTACGCACGTACGACCTGCATACGAAAGTACCTATGAGGCGTAAACTCATTCAACCTTCACGACTGATGGGAAAGTCTCGTGTTATCTCTAGCAGAGGATGAGTATTTCGAAATTGTGTATCGCGGAGAATCAAGTGTCTTTGATATCTCGCTGAATGTGAGAGAGATACGATGATACTCGGTGGAAAAAATGCAGAAGACGTGAGAAAATATTCGACTAGATACAGTATTCGACTTAAATTAACCCTAAAAAGTGTAAGTTGAAGACCAAGTAGTTCAGACTGACCGTGTTATTCATATTTTCTTATGCTTATCTTTCGAAATTGATAACTCACAAACAAAAAACAAAATAATATAAACGAAATAAAATCTGCTAAATTCTTTTACTAAATTTTTATACTTTCATTACTTTTCTTTTCACAAAATACACGTTGATTAAAACATTCAAAAGTTCCAGCAATTCATTTTCTAAAGAGGAATATAAAAAAAACAATATTGATAAAACAAATGAAAAAATGATAAAAATAGGACGAGTAAAAAATTCTTATTATTGTTACTGAATCAAAATTATTTTTAAATAGGAAATTAAGTACTTCATGCATACTTGTGACTTTCCTATGAACAAGGACAACCATTCAACCTTCACCCTCAACCTTTTTAAGGCTAATATACAATGTGCATTCGAATTTGAAGATCTGTGAGTCCAATCTACGCAATTCCACTGGTATCAGATCAATTTAATTGACCGCCAAACATTGTTCGGTCAATTATCGAGTTAACGATCCTCTTGCAAACAGTGTATATCTACGTGCTCCCATCATTGTCTGAAGGCTAGGGCCGAGATGGCACCGCGGTAACCTCGAATGACCAATTGACTTTATACCTAATATGTTATTTTAATTCTAGGTACACGTAGTACAGAATCTCTATAATAAACGGCGAAGGACACGTTTGACGATTCCCTCGCTCAAGGGCGCCGCTTCACGAACCATTTAATTGTGCCTCAAGCAGGTTCAACATTTCTATTTAGATTCCTTCCATCGAGTCGGTTTTGAAATGGAACATGAGGCGGTGCTGAAAAGAAATGCGTTTACATGCAACTGGGCATTATACAAAAGTTACGCTCCTCGCGAAGGAAGCACCTACATACTTTGCCTTCAAGTATCGCACGTTTCCGCGAATTCCTCGTGCCGGTGATCGATTTCACGGCTGGTACCTATTCATTTTCGTCGAACACAATGGTACGTATACGTTGTAATAGGAAAACAAATCACGCTTCGTTTATAAACAATTCTCAAACACAGTAGAAACTCGATTATCCGATTTAATTTGATAACTAAGAGTCAAGATAAATGGAGACTTGAAGAGAAATTTGATATTTAAATATTATATGGACTACCTTTGTTTTTAAGAAGCTAAATATTAATAATAATAATAATGATAATAATAGTAACAGAAAATCGGAAAAATCTATTGTCACGACTTTTGTAAGGATTATATATTACTCTTTTTGAACGCTCAGTTGTTTTAGTGTTAATAGAGGTTCTACTGTATCGGACTTCATCTTTCGAATAACACAACTGTGACTTCACCGAGCGTCACTTGAGGTGTCTGACCCGACACGTACCTAGGAAATAGAAGAAGAGGTGATAGCACTATCCCTTACTATCTGTATCCAAGATAGACACTTTTATGTCTACAGAAAATATTTCTGAAAATATTAGGTACCGGAAAAACATTATGCGATTTTCTTATTAGTAATCAATTGTGGTGTGAGTTCAATTAATATTTTACTAGTTCAATGAATGAAATTAGTATTAGCAGCAAGTTATGTTTATGCAATTAGTATCAAATAAAATAAAATAATTTTACAAAAATGTTTTTTTTGTTCAAATTTAATTTAAGAACCCGCACAAATCTTTTCTGGTACCTAATATTTAGTGGAATAATTACGATTCCTAATGCAGTATAATTGACTGATAGTTAACCCTCGGACGGCGGCGGCTTCATTCTCACCCACCTTGTCGAAGACATTGTCCAACATTACATTTTTTATACCTAACTCAAGTTGTCAGTTGTTTATGTTGTGTAAATCCAATAAAAAATACATAGAAAATACAATTACTCACGAATATCTTCACGAGAAGATGTCATATTTGCGTCGCTCACAATAGTCACAATTAAGACAACTAACCCCACTTTTTGAAAGTTTTCGTATATATCATTTCATCAAGAGCTTTTACTTCTTGCTTCGTGAAGCTAATTGATTTGATAAATGAATGATTCGTTTATTTCAACTATTTATTAAACTTTATATTAAAATGAAGAAAAGTATGTTATAAAAAATTGTAAATGAACAGATAATCGAGATGAACAAATGTATGTAGCATAATTGCTGTTCATAACTGTTATCTGAAATGTATATGAAAAAATTGTCAGTCACTGTACATCTAAATAAAATTGATAGGAAGAAAAATTAATAGTTAATGAATCATCAAAAAATTCTCCGCCTCCCGAGGATTAAAAATATCTTATACATCCTTTTATATTTTTTAGAAATCGTCGTGTTTCTTGGAAACCTCAAGTTCGCTCGGTAAATCTGTACAGTAATGAAATTACACAAATAATAAGACTTTGTTTTTTCATTTCCAAAATGTCAATGTAAAAAAGTTCGACAAATGACATAGAATATAAAGAAAATTCAACGTTAAAGGGTTACCAGCTTAAAACCCTACACTGTGTACCGATAATTGTGTATCGACACTGCTCACCGGGACATGCGTTACACTTCATCCAATATGTAGCATTTATCGTGATCAGAATAATGTCTTCTTGTTTTTATTAAAATATGTCCTCGATGTTAGTGTAATTGCGCTCCCAGTATCCTCCCCGGTAAAGCCAGTCCTCTTGACCCGTATAAGGATTGATGCCTAAGTGGAACCACCTGTGGCACATGACAAATTTGAATATTAATTATCATATAATAGAAATGTGATTTATTATTCATTACATGGAAATGTAATTATGCTCTGTTTTCATGTAATGTTATTCTATCTTGAATAAAATTTTGCAATTGAAATTTTACAAGCACAATCGAAGTATTGAGCGATTATTTAGGGTGCAATTTAAATGTTACTCAAGAAAAGAAATGACACAAGAATCAAGGGACTATGTGAAGTGCATTAAAATATAGAAATTTTCTTGGAAATGTATTGAAAAAGAATACAATCGTTAATGCAAAATTATCATGTTAATTTGTTTGTTTATACTTTATTTATTTACGTTAACTTAATATCTGTAATTAAAAAAGAAATTAATAACGATATATGTTTAGAATGAGAATGTTTATTAGTTCAATGTTTTTTTTATGATTTCATCGTAGTCTGCTGGGAATAAATATTTTTTTATATAGCAAAGTGTGTCTTTGAACTTTCATACCTGGGTGAGTATTTCGCACCCTTATCGAGTTTCCGAGCTTTACGCATCTCCCGCTGCTTTATCTCGAGTCTGGTTTTTTCATCCGCAGCACCGTCTTTATCTCCGTTCTCTAATTTTCTGATATCCGGCCTCAATCTGGAGTCCGTTGGGCACAACACTTTTTCCATTTCCGGCACCAATTCGTTTAACGACATCGCGAACGTTGTGAATTGGAAATACTAAAAATCAGTTGGAAAGATTAAAATGGAGCACAGATTTACTGATTTTAGTTGTGTTAAAATTTTACACGTTAATATTATTGTGTTATTTATTATAAATAATATATATATATATTATTATTATTTATAATATATATATTATTTATAATAAATATATATATATTTATATACAAATATATAAATATATATATTTTTCATTTATCATACTCCAATTTAAATATGTAAATATGTAATTATTATATAAAAAGGCACTTGTATTATATGAAATAAAGACCTTTGTGTTTACATTTAACAAAATTCTTTTATTCAGTTGTTTCTTCAAAGTTCTCAATTTTCCCACACTCTCTCGTAACTGCAAAGAATTTCTATATGAGCCGTTTATTTTGAAAATGATTTAAATCTGTTAAAAAAAAGAAAAAAACTGTTAAAAAATTAAAAGATAATATAGAATTAGAATTGTTATAACCATTAAGTTGATCTTTTTTGAAAGTGGACCGCTTTAGTCAACCCATTTTCAAAATATATAATTCATATATTCTTATATATATTTTTTCACGCATTATTTCTTATTAATATCTGTGCAAAGTAAATTTTTCATCAATTTCTTCATTAAGAATAAAAAACAGAAATGCAGGGATTATAATGAATGTATATAATGAATTTTATGTTGCACTTCATTAAATATTTCAGCATCATCCTTCAAGTCACAAATTTTGCGTTATTTCACACAGTGATCCTTATTTAATATACCAATTCAAACATTAATTCTATATGTAAATACAACAATTACAGAACTAGCAATCATTTACAAGGTTAAGGCCACATTTTAGAATCGAATTATTCTGTATTGATATAATCACATTGGAAAGGACAGTAAGGAATATTTTTAATACTGTAGGGAACAGCTATGCGATCCATGAATACCAAGATGGTAATCAATAACGTGTAATGATATACCTCTGAACTATTCGGCTGCCTTGGCGTAGCTTCCCACAGGGTAGTGGATCCAGGAATATCATCGATCGTTGGAGTGTCTTCTCCATCTATACTCGCAGATGGATCGTCAATTGCATCCTCGAATCAAAGAAGAGTTCATAATTTTAATAATTACGCGAGTATCTATGTAGTACATTTGTTTTTAAAAATATTATTTAACGCTAAAATTACCAGACAAGTCAAAATGACCCATTCCTGATTCCATCTTTTTGCAATTATTAAAAAGATGATAGATGTTTCTCTGAGAAATTATTAAAGAATTTGATTCAGCAATACACAAACTGAATTATAAAGCAACTAAAGTTTCAATAAGTGCATTCTTGGAGTTTCTATACAGGAAATTCAAAAAGTCAATTTAATTGCTCGATAGTGTTAGTATCAATTCTCATTAGGTACAGGAAACAGTTTGTGCGATTTTCTTGTTAACAATAAATTGAGCTTCGATTTCAATTGGCATTTCACTAATTTAATTAATGAAACTAGTATTAGCAAATTATTTCACAAAAACATTCTGTGTTTAAATTTTTGTTTAAAGCCAAGCACGAACTTTTTGCGGTGCTTAATAAAAATGAAAACATGTTTTATTCTTACTAGAATGATCATACATAAAAAATTAAATATTTTGAAATTATTTTCATGAAAATAATAATATTCATGGATAAAATGAATTTTATCATGGAATAATAATTAATAATTTAAACATTTTGTATAATATGTTCAATCAGAAACTTTCATAAATAAACACCGTTAAATATGCAGAATTTTAATGAATGCAGATACCGCTGAGATATCAGTGTATGCAATTCCACAGATAGAATTGTACAAGCTGTCCATGTATATCAAAGTTTAAAGCATTTGACCCGCACTCTCGCTTTAAAAAATGTAGCACGGGCTTAAAAAGAAAGTTTCTTTTGAAAACAACGTTACAGTGGACTATAAATAGACTACTGATTGAATCCTTGCTAAACAGGTGAATCATTCATAAAATTCATAATAAAATCTTTTTAATGTATTTCAAAACCAGCTTTTATTCAAGATTATATCTTTAAAAGCAGTATTTCTTTATAGAAAGAGAAAGACTGGTCCACCCTTTACGAGGATTTTTACAAAGGATCAATTCAAGTGTTGAAAGCTAACCCTTATTTGATTAAATTGTTGTTCAAAGAAACCTACACATGAACAACATCAACGTCAGCATGAAAAATCTATTGACAAGTATTTTAACAGCGAGTCTATTTATGGTCGCTGGGATCCGATCATTTACAGGAAAAGTGACAATGCATTTCAACTTTTTTGAGGTCCCACTTCGCAACTGCATTGCAATAACTACGTACTTAATCAATTCATGCTATAATTATTCAATTACAATAATATAATTATATGACGTATAACTGTAATTTTGTCCCTTTACACTCGGAAACTTTAATTTTAGCAACAACTCAAACATATTTATTTATAAAATAGCGAGTAGTATTTAATTTTAAATAAAGTAATATATCATTGGAAATAATCATTCTGTTTAAATAATACTTGGAATAAAACTTCAATCTATTACATATTATAATTACCAAAACTTCTCGCCTAGTTTCATTACTTAAATAATGTCTCTTAGAGAAAATAATCGATTGCAAAGGTTCAATACTTTTCACATGATCTCGAATGAATTAATAAATTGTCCTAATAAATTACAGTCGAATTAACCCTAGACCAACCAGGCCTTTAACATGATTAATACGTAATCCTTACAAAAATTGTAGCAATAGACTTTTTTCGACTTTTTCACGTTTTCATGTTATAGTATTCAAATGAAACTATTTATTTTTAAAATCATTTTGAATATTTAATACTTTTAAGATTACAATAATTGCGAAATCAGAAAAATAAAACCCGCTATTTTGAAGGATACGGATAATTCTAGTATTAAGTACCATTAATACCAATTTCTGAATAAGAACAGTTCAATTGAATAAAGTTGTTTAACTCTATACTCCGAGGACAGATTATAAAACATTACAAAACACTTTTGTCCAACCAAACAGAGAACTAATTAGAATGACTGAGCAGAACACTTTAGATACCTGATGAGAAGGCTTGAAAGCTCCAACCTTCAGACTGTGTAACTTCGCCAAAACTTTCTTATGTCCTGGACTACCCTGAGGACTTTTCGCTTCCCGCTTCACCCTCTCCAAAGCTTCCTCGTATGACGATGGATCGCACATTTTCATCATCTCCGTCCATTTTCCGTAAAGGAACAGAAGCTTCTTCTTACTGAACAAAACATGTACAATTAAAATCACTTTCACATCAACGAACTTAACCAACCACCTCGTTATCAGAGCCATTTATCAGAGTAACATCGAAAGAACGAACTTCTCGACTTAATTCTCAGTTTCCTTGCTCAAAAAATTAATTCTATATCTAACAAATATTTTAAATGATTTTCGTAAATTATTTTATTCACAATTATAAAGGAATAGCTTTTTTGTCCTACGTAACATTCATCATGCCACACAAATGAAAATGGTAATTTACCGAATAATATTGCATACGAACACCTCTATAACTTCAATAATTTTAAAACGATAAATCTAAAACCAGTTATTTCAAAATGTGTGATAGATTTAATGTTAACCCTAACATATCAGTGAAAAGATCAGTTTTAAACTTCGATTTAAAATCCTGCGTTTTCTTTCACCCATTTAACTTTATATCAACTCCTATGTTGGTCGATTAATTTTCAATTTTTGCCTTTCCTCTTATTTGTATTCTCACTAAGAAAAATCGATGATCTAACATGCTTACTTTTATTTAGTAATTCGATTAGTTACGATAAAGATAGGTGTGTACAAAGTACCGATACGTTTAGCGTCAACAATAACGAACTGTTCCTTCACCAACAATGAACAAACGTAAATAATGCTTAACGTTTCACGGAAAACTCAGATTTCGCGCACATATCACGATGATGTAGTATGTTCTACGAAAGTTTGCGACCTGGTGGAAGATTCGTCGAATGAATATCATCGAGATCGCGCGGTGCAAGTGTCTTTTCTACGATCGCAGATTCAATTGATGATAAACTGTTACCAGCTTACTCTTGATCCGTTATGAAGCCTTCGACACGGTGAAGGTCCTTCCCGTTGCGACCGCTACTCTTGAAAGAGAGAGTCGCCTTCAGGTTTGCCCCGCCGCTCTGTTTGATCTCGAGGGAGCCTAGCTGCTCCATCCATAATTGGCCCACCAGCACGTTATGAAGTATGCAGTTGATGTTCTGCCAAGTGTACGCTTCTTTCCATCTGTATACATTAGCGTGTAGATTAATAGGGGATGATGGGGCAAGATTAGAAAACTTAAGAAGAATTGTTATATAATATTATGTTTATCGATTTTGTGTATGTAAGACACACTGTGTATAGTGTTAATGACTGTTGATAAAAATATGTTGAAATTGATTTATACAATTTAATGGATAACGTACAGAAAGGTAATTTTGAAAGTAGCAATGAAGTCTTGTTTTGGCTTGTATATGGGCAAAATAGGACGCTTAGAAAGAATTGTTAGACAATCTTGTGTATATGAAACGCTGTGTATAGTATTAATGGCTGTTTATAAAAATTTGTTGAAATTGATTTATAGAACTTAATGAGTAAAGTATAGAAAAGTAATTTTAAAAATATAATAAAGTTTTGTTTCGTTTTGTTCTGTATGTGAACAAGATGGCAGGTATTTATTTACACGTGCCACACACTTAAGGGGTATTAACTGAAAATTCTGAATTAAAGGATCCTAAACTAGTTCGAAAAAAAGATAAACACAAAATAAATAGGAAAATAATAAAACAAAATGAACCATTGACTCATGTACATTATTAACGTGTAGGTTAATTATTTCCCTGTGGTTTAGAAATTAACGAACCCATCTCAAACGGTTAACCATAACGTTGTGGAACGTTAATTACGTGGAGCCAGTTTACTTGAGTGGTTGCCTTCCTTCCTTAACATCATTTCGTACTTCTCGATTGTGCAATTTATTATAGATTTTCCGACGGATAACGAGCTGCTAATTTCGTGGAAAAACTTCCTAGTTGCTGATACCTTTATTACGCTCTCGCGTGTTTTGAGTAAATAGTATATATTGAACCATCTGCTCCTTTCGATTTGTCATTAATGAATTCTGGTAATTTAGATAATGTTTGTATATAAAAATTTATATACATTCTACAAATGTGTATATTTAAGATTTGTAGAATATTGCTTTAAATAAATATGTTTATAGAAATAAATGGCTATTTATCGGTTATAATTAATCTGTGTGTTAATACATATTTTTGAAGAAATTTTTATATTACTATCAGCAGATACAGTAGAAGGTAGAAAGACGAATTAATTAATTTATTATAGTTTGTACTGATAAAATTATTAAACAGTGAAAAGGATGAAATAATGTTATGTACAAGAACTAGTGTTAATGATTAGATACAATTAATATATTTGGTTTGCTATTCAATTTTTTAAATAAAATATTACGTAATAGGAAAGATTAATCATTAGGGAGTAGTATAATATTAGTAATAACATCTTGTAGTACAGAAAAAATAATCATAAAAGAAAAATGGAAACACTAAAGAACCTTGCGAATCATGCACCAAAGTAGAAAGAGCCGACACATATTAATGGTCAGTCAATGAGAATTACTTAAACAGCCTCTCTACTTTGGCAATAAAAACAATTGAACATTTCAATGAACAAACTAATCTTAAGGAAAACAATGCAATATAATGTGAGAAAAAGTATTTTCTACATCACAAGGAAATGCTCATTTTTTAAGCTGCAAGATTCGAGTTTTATTAAATATACTAATTTAGTTGTAACTCAATTCAGTGAAACTGTACTTGCTAAATATATTTACAAAGTAAATTGGATGATTAGCTGTTTAAATACCGCGTAAGACAGTTCTAAAATTCTCGATTTGAAAAAGGAATACAGATATTTAAAGCTTCAAGTATAGTTTTATGATTCATAGAAAGTAAAGTATAATATTTACTGCTGATCAGCTATTCCAAGAGTATACGATTCACATTCCTTCTCCTCGTAGAAAGCATTTAAAAGTGTATAAGCTTTTTTTTAACTCATAAATATCCAGAAATTGCATTCAACGACATCAATCTTCATTAAAAATTACTACTGCTGCGCTATTAATAATTCGAATGGTTTTAATACGAAAATATGAAAGATTTGACCTAAATTGCTATAGTGGACCATTAATGGTTCCATTATTATTCTCGGTGTTCCAATTTAAAAATCGCTCCCATAAATCAATGGTTTATGAACCCGCATAGATCGGTTTAATGACTTTTAAGGCTAAGTCATTAAACGAAGCATCATGCATGTGTTTTCCTTACGTTGAGGGAGCAGTAATGATTGACAAGAGACACTGCAGACCGCTTGATTTATTTTAGCACACGTACGTATATTATGTATTAACCTTTTGCACTCGGAAAGTTTTTTCACTAAATACATTCATTAGTTTCTAATGCAATTTTAACTAAATTATTGATTCTGTTAACTAGAAATAATGTAGGAATCAATGAACAGAATTGTTTTATTTCAATATTCTGTGTCTAATTACATTTATATTGTAATTAAACTTAATATTGTAACATTAAGTTTAAATTAATTATATAAATTAATAACATTAAGTTTAAATTAATTATATAAATTAATAATATTAACTTCAAATTAAAATTAAATTAATATCAAAAGTTAATATTGTATATCGAATTCTATAATTCTTCTATAGCAAATGAACTGGCGACTACATGTCACCTCTCAAGTGCAAAGGATTAAACATCGTATCTATCACTGAACCAACTATCATAGAAAGATAATAAATCTACGTTGACTTGTATCAATATGGATAGTTTATTTTGAAAGCAATGTAAATCTGTTTTCTTTTACCTTGAGATATTAAAATGTTTGCGTTTCCATCTATTAAAGAATCCCAACAGATTTACTTAGTTTGTTCAGAGTTGTTTGTTTAAAGAAATGTAAATTCATTGTGGATAGAGTTTCGTTTAGAATTAATCAGACCACTATCTTTTTCAAGTTCATGAACGAATTGCTATAAAAATATATGATAATGCAGTTCCATTTAACAAAAAAATTTAATCGACTAAAAAATAGAATTTATTAAGATATAAATTATAATTAAATTACAATTTTTGTAAACACAATATAATTATATAACAATAAATTGATTTATTGTGTCACATATTACGTTAAGGTTTTGTCAGATCAAATTCATATAACAAAATGATAAAACAAAAAATACAATATTAAGCATTTGCTATGCAACATTGAACACAGTCGATAATAGAATTTATAATTTTCAACTGCCGACATAAAGAAAATTATCACAGAAAAATAATCCCATGAAGTTTACATTGCAGTATATGCAAGTTTTTCGTTCCCTCAATTTTTCAAACAGTGGATACCACTTTCAAAATAAACGATCCAGTTAAAGGTGTAAGACAAATATACCACTCACTAATGAACGCACTGAATGGATCACGTCACTTTTTGGGGAATATTTATACGATCCTAAAAAAGTACGTGAGTTTTCCAAAAAGGACGGAAAACTAGGAAGAATAAGTGAAAAGAGTGTTCGAAAAAAGCAGCAAAAGTGGAAGAGAAAGCGTTAGTAAAATTCATGAGTGCAAAAACGTACGAAACAGTGTAGGTCCTTGAAGAAAATTTACTGACAGGAAATACAAAGTTACGAGAGCGAAAATAGAATGTTGCGGCAGAAAGGATGAGGAAAATTTATTAGCGGAAATAAAGAGCTAGTCAATAAGGGTGGAATACATGGCAACGTTGAAACTGATACAACGTAATCCTTCTTCATTTTCTCTGTAAATCCTTAGGGATTTTCTTGGCGCTTTTCAAAATTACCTCACCTGCGTCATCAATTTTCATTTTCAGAATTCCACACATTTTTCAGTTTATTTCAAATGAAATGTGATAACTGCGTTTATTGTGTTTATTATAATATCAATTAATGTCATTAACGAAGATTAACGAATATTTCAGTTTATTTTAAGATCCATCTGCAAACACGATTTAATTCTTCACTTATCTGTTGATCTTAAAAGTGTTATCTTTACTTCGTTTACTGCGAGCTTAGGGAGGAATTTATAAACAGACCCCTCTAAAGTATGCAAATTTTACTGTCGAATAATTGACCCTTTTCTCTAAGAACCGAGAAAGTGAGTTATATTTGCACTCCATTCTTAAGTCGCTCATTGGCCAAATAGGTTAACTCTGTTTTTTAAGAATTTTATCGTGAAAATGTTAGATTGATTTTTAAGTTTTTATATTTGAAAAAAATTTCTTTATTATTAGGTTACCACGAAATAACATGAATTCTCTTAGAGAGTAGAAATTGTAATCGTAATAGAAGTTACTTGAAAAATATATTATTTTATGCATTTTATGTATTCAATAGGTTAAGCTACACTTATGATAATAGAGTAATATATATTCTATAATGTTTACATAATTTTCCATTTAAAGAGAAATTGAAAAATCAATATATATATACTTTCAAATATAAAGACGTCTATCATTTGCAATTATTCAAGAAGTTCTGAATTCTTCCAACAGCTTAATTTTTAAACATTATACAGTAATAAAATACAAAAAATTCGAACTCAAATCATACATTTACCAAAGTAATTAACTTCACGAAATTAGAAGTAGAAAACTTTGATGACTGTACAATATTATACGGAACAATCAACCAAATATTGACACTAAAATTTGGAAACATGAAAAAAATGGAGCTAGTAACATTGACTTCTGAATAACTCTGTAAAGAGAACCTAGAGCGACCCTCGGCACGATTGAAAATAGGAATTATAGGTTGGAACATTAGAAGTTCCTCACGCGTCAAAAGTTAATAACGAGCATCAAAGAACTTTTTAATCGTTAGAAGGTATAAATATCAACAAATAACTAGCAAAGTGGCCATCGCTTCAACTCCTACTCGCTCTGATTTTTCGCTAACGAGTTTGCTGTTCATAATTGATTACGTTCAGCGCATTCAATACCCTCTAGTTATTACGTTGGCGAGTGAAGAGTAAACTAGTTTCCAAGCGCAACCCTTAAAAGACCACACAGAAAAGTAACATAAAAAACCGATACTGTTCGACAGACATATTTACAAAAAATGGTAATAAAATATTTTTATATATTTCC